TGAGCCACCCAGGCGCCCCAATAAATACAATCTTTAAAAAAATAAAGAATACAGTATGGGAAGGAGATTATAAGAAGAGGAACTTTGCAATGGAGAAACCTGGCAAACCTCAACCAGGAGACCGAGGTCAACATCAACAGTGATAAGTTAAGTTAATAGCAACTACTCTTAACATGATGTAATGAGAATGGCATTTTATCTCTGTGGTCTTCCTCCCCAAACCCGGTAATCTCCATCTAACCATGAGAAAAACATCATACATATCCAAATTGAGGGAGAAAATGCCCAGCCAACACTCCTTAAAACTGTCAAGGTCATCAAAAAGAAGCAGTGTCTGAGAAACTATCACAGCCCAGAGGAGTCCAAGCATGGTGACCAAATGTAATATGGTATCGTGGGTGAAATCCAGGAACAGAAAAAGGACAATAGATAACGCTAAGGAAATTCCAAAAAAACAGTGGAGTCTAATAATACTTGTGCCAATGTTGGTTCCTCCATTGTGTCAAATGTACTATAGGAAACTGGGTGCAGGGTACACATGAACTCTCTATAACATTGTTGCAACTTCTGCAACTCTACAACTATTTTAAAATAAAAGTCACCCAAGGGCTCTGGGTGACTCAGTCGGTTCGGCTCAGGTCATGATCTCAGGGTCCTCAGATCGAGTCCCACATCAGGCTCCGCGCTCAGCGGGGAGTCTGCTTCTCCCTCTCCCTCTCTCTCTGGCTCCCCATCCCTGCTCGTGCTCTCTCTCTCACTCTCTCTCTCAAATAAATAAATAAAATCTTTAAAAGAAAACACTGCAAGTTGAGAAAAGCTAATGATTGCTTTTACTTTCATTATTAAAAAGACGTTGCATCCTGTAAATGTCATGCATTCAGGACCTTTTCACTAGACTGTGAGCTACTTGAGTAGAAAGATTTTATTTAATTAACCTTTTTGTCCTCAAGGACTAGCCTATTATTGTAGGCACTCAATGTTTGTTGGAAAAAAAAAACTGAATGAATAAGCAGGTACGTGGCTGTGTTAGTTGAACAAATTAATGTGAATACTATGGAAACTCAAGGAGTCTATTCCCTCAGGCTGGGAGCCTGAAGTAATAGAAAAAGCAGACTCCTAGAAAAAAAGATAAAGCAAAACTTTAAGGCTCAGCTGTAGAGACTAAGTCAATGCGAACTACTATGGCATTTTTAAAAACCCACATTATTTTAGGAGAATAGAAAATTAGCAATCAGTACTTGGAATTTTTATGAATTACTAGTAATTATGTAAAAGGATTTCGAATAGTATTGAAAAGTTGTATTCGTGGGTAACATCCAAACTTTTGCCCAAAAACCTTTATCTCTATTAGCGGCTTCCAAATTGGCAACATATTTTTAAAAGTACTGATAGCTGTGGTTTTTACTAACTGTGTAGTCATTTAAGGTCAAATGACTTTTCTATGAACTGATTCTAATCAATCAACTGGGCATAACGCCACAAATTTTTTTGTGGTGACTAAATGTAAAATGATAGCATCTCCTTTCTTTCTTTCTTTCTTTCTTTCTTTCTTTCTTTCTTTCTTTCTTTCTTTCTTT